GAAATAAATGCGGAATGTATCCATTGGACACAGATGATGCTCCCGCTTGCATATCATAAAAGTTATAAACGGACATAACTGAAGAACGGTAAAAGTGACACTAACCAAATGTGTACTTTCTGTAAGTTTTGTGGTCATAAGTATTGTGTTAAGAAAAAATCAGCAACTTTTTCCCTTTGTAAAGAGGCGTGGCTCTAGAACAGTAAAAGTGACACCACCAAAATTCGAACTTGATTTGTATTTGGTGGTTTTAAGCATTGTGTATAATTTAAATAACATTTGGTAAAGACAAACTAAAGTTAGAGAACGGAAACGAAAAATTCAGTAATACTTCTATTTGTAAAAGGGCATAACTATAGAACGGTTAAAGTGACACCACCAAAATTCAAACTTGGTCTGTGTTTTTTTGGTGATAAGCAATGTGATTAAGTTTCATAACATTTGGTTGAGGCAAACTAAAGTTAGAGAACAGAAACCAACTTTGGGACGTACAATGGTAAACCTTAATGCCCCCTCCGCCACGGCAGGGGCATACAAATGTGTAAATATAACAATTGATAACATTGAGCAAAATTCCATGAATGATCTTTGCACATGGTGGTCCTAAGGTTTTGAGAATCAAAACAGTATATACTAGTTAGGACCAGCAAATTTTCCTCAAGGCCCACAAAGAGAATACGTTTTGAGAACTATAAAGATGCGATTACTCTGCCTTATATACAAATAATAATTCAATTAAGTTATTTAAAAAAAAAATGATAGACAAGCTGTCCTTTTCAATCATTTATCATACAAACATTGAAAAAGTCTTGCACAGTTTAAGATAGATCGTTGGTATATATTTCCTCAGATAGAACACGTAGAATTTGTATGCCCCCACCGTAGCGAAGGGGGCATTAAGTTGTACCCTTGTTCGTTAGTACGTTCGTTCTAGAGTTATACACCTATACAAATGGAAAAATTGCTGACTTTTTGTTTCCGTTCTCTAACTTAAGTTAGCCACAACCAAATGTTTTGAAACTCATAAACAATGAATATTACCATAAAATACAGATCTAGTTTGAATTTTATTGGTGTCACTTGTACTGGTAATGAGTTATGCCCCTTTAAAAATGGAAAAAAATGCTGAATTTTTCGTTTTCGTTCTCTCTCTTTCGTCTGTCTGACATAGTTCATCTTACCCTGACCTCATTTTCTTAGAACATAGATAATGTTAAGTTAATATGATACTTATGTTATGCTCATTGTTGAAGGCTGTACGATGACCTGTGGTTGTTCATTTCTATGTCATTTTGTCTCTTGCGGAGAGTTGTCTCATTGGCAATTACAACACATCCTCTTATTTTTATACACAGACTTAAATGTTTTTGGAGTTCAATATTATTCTTTTTCACTAACAGCATCAATCCCAGGCACGACAACGGGTTATGCGTATTACCTTTTTTTTCAAACTTCTGAGATATCTTACATATAACTATAGAAGTAATGTTATGCTTAAATTCTTGATATGCTTAGTTCACAAGTACACACAATAAGATTTCACATTTTTTTCAACAAATTTTATGATTTTGAAAAAAATGAATTTTTTTTCCCAAAAAAAAGGGGGTGCACCATACCCAGAGTGATGAGTTTTCGTTTTGTACAAGTATATCTTCTTTAATCATATATTCTAGTTTAAAATTAACAAATGTGTGTCAGAATTGCACATACAAATGGAATATTTCAGCTTTTTAACTTCAAAATGTTTGATTATTTATCTGTTTGGTAATCTGAATTTTGGTGAAAATTGACAATTTTTTACTAAAATTATTTTTTTAAAGAAAAAAAAACACACGACTTTCTTTTTATTTGTTGAATATAGTGAGTGTTGTATTTCAAAATTTGTCACTGACACGTAATTCTATTGTTGGTCTTGGGAGATAAACAGATTTAAAATTTAGGAGTTTTTGGAATTTTTCATTTTCGAATTTTTACACATTTTTAAATGGTTCCTATGCAAACAAACTATGTAGTAAATTCAACATTTTAACGTTTTTGTATAGTTTGGGGTTTTGATAGTCAATACTGTAAATATATTTATTGTTTGTATTGATTAACTTAATTTCAATGGTTCTTTAAAATCCCTTATATTTCAATTTTCAAAGGCTATTTTTGTACGTATTTTGACAAAATTTTGTAAGGATGGTTTTCATGGCAACCAAGGTTCAAAAGAAAAAAAAATAATATATGAAACTTATTTTCATATCATACTTTCTTCATAAACAAAATATAAAGACATTTGAAGAGGGGTCATGAATCGCCCATAAACAGGAACCTGCATGATTCTTACAAAGACAGGTACTTAATCAGCAAAAAACTAATTATAATTTTAAACTTTCTAGCTATCATGTAATATTTTTTAACTCAAATAACAAATACCCCCTGGAATTATCAATGGGGCGGGATTGGAAAAAATGCCTTTGCCCCGGAAGGTTAATTGCACAACATCAATCGGGTTTATACACATACATTGTACATCTATCATAGAATTTAAATGTGTATTTTCTGGAAATAATCGATTAGGGCTTTTTAATATCAAAACTATAATAAGATTTTCTTAGCATGGAATAAAGAGGACTCATGATCAGCGAATAGAAACCAGTGAAATAGTTAACAAATTAACAAAATATAGTATATGATATCCTAAAATCAAATTGCTAGTCATGCTTAAATATTAAAAAATGTGCTACCGTAACACCTTTTGAAATATGTACATGTTCGCAAATAATCGATAAAAGTGTTGTTTAATTTCACCAGATTAAATATATTCTAAGCATTGCTCGTATTCTTGGATCAAACGTCAATTAACTGAAATAAATAAAATCAAAAGCAAGCGTTTTACTCTATCGATACAGGTGTGGTCTGTTCAAGGTCCTGATTTAGGAAGGAATACATAAACTAAGTGTTCGTCAATATAGTTAAACCTTGCGACGTCATAATTCCCGCGAGAACCGCGCAAGCCCTGAAAAAGAATATATACAAAATCAAGTTCAAATAAAGTAATTAGAGAAAATTGAAGGACCAAATTAAACAAACTGCATACACAACAAATCAATAAAACATAAATTCCGTGGGTTCATAGAAAAAGAAAAAGAAAACTTGTAAAGGAGGATTAAATGATGCTATTTTACGGTAGGATGTTTTAAACCTTGCACGTTTCAAGGAACAACATTATTTTAAATACAAAATAAACTTGTTGCAGGGACCAGAAATGAGACAAACGCCCTCCCTCTTTCTTTTTTGCCTGTTCCTAGAGATCATTTCCTAAACATTTAGTCAGGAAACTGCCCCCACCACTGCGTGTCTAGTTTGGAGAGAAGGGAGGGGGTGCGTTAATCTGTTTCTATAGGTAAAATATGTGTTAACTATTTGCAATTTGACGTCTTTCATACATTCAATTCAGCACGCTAGCATCAAAACAATCATTCAACCAATAAATGAATCAATCAATAGTTTATCAATCAATCAAGCAATCATTCGATCATACAATCGATGGATTCTACTAACAAACCTATGGTAGTCTAGTTCTGCCATCGAGATAAATTTGAGTTGACATAATTTATCTCGATAAGTCAACATTAAATAGGTATCTTGACGACTTATACGGATTTTATCTCGACAAGTCATGAAATCTTTTCACAATTTGTCTAGATAATTTTTTTTAACTGGTCAAGATAATTATCCGGTTATCGTGTGTTTTCTTATGCCAATGCCAATTTGTAGCATCGACATAAATAATCGTCGTGATAGAAGTTTAATGTTTTTGGACAAAAAGAACTACTTGGACGCCAATTTTCCAGAAAAACTCGAGATATTATATCAATTATTCACGATATTTTATCTTATCACTCGAAACAACTAGAATATCGTGAATTGTTGAGATGATATCTCAAATTTTTCTCAAATAATTAGCCGTCAAAGTCGTTCTATTTGTTTGAATACATTAAACTTCTATCACGACTATTCTTTATTTTGATGCTACAAATTGGCATTGGCATAAAAAATCACGATAACTTTATATTTATCTTGACCAATTATCTAGATAAATTGTGAAAAGTTTCATGACTTGTCGAGATAAAAACCTGATAAATCGTCAAAATACCTGATTTATGTTGACTTATCGAGATAAATTATGTCAACTCAGATGTATCTCGATAGCAGAAATAGGCCACCATACAAACCCAATCATCGATTAATGAATGTAAAACTTGTGAAACCTGCCCCTATGCCAGTATGCACAATGGTGATCAATAAATCAACCCTTCAAACAAACAAGACACCAAGACACATACACACATATCAACTATCCAAACCAACCAACCAACCAACCAATTGATATGCATCAAAAGTAAGGTGGCTTGTTATTTTGTCCATCCAACAAAACCAACGACCCCAAAACATAAGGCATGGAAATGGGGAAAGACCTCAAAATTACAAAAACAATTTTTATCTGTCTTTTCATTGGATTTTCCCCCTAAGTGCCATTTCTCTGCATTACAGTTTTGTTATGTAGGGGAAAAATTGGAACCATTAAAATTAATTTGTAATTTAAATTTGTCTAATTCATTTTTGAATTAAAACTCTGATTTAAAGTTTAGCCTGACTCCTTTTTTTGTTTGTTTTTTTTTCTTTAAAGATGTATGAATGTTTCAAACTTCCAATAATTTTCGATTTGTCCACTATTACATTTAAAAAGGCTACCATGTGTTTGGTGTAACTCTTATATGATTCATAAACAAAGGCTCCGTATGATCTTAAATATACATTCTCTTTCACAAACTATTTTTTCTATAGTTTTTCTTTCACGCTAACCATTGCCAACAGACGATTTTAATTTGATAATTATTTGCATTTAGCGTTTCCTAATAGTTTCTTAAATATACCTTATTAAAATGACAAGTAAATTTCGCAATTAAATCAGTATTGTGTGTTTCTGTAGACATGTTTTACTTTTTTCCCAGGGGTCATTGTTGGTGGATCTGTCGGAGCTGTCATTGTTTTACTGATAGGTGTAACTGTTATTCTGTGCAAAGTGAGGTATAATCTATACGATATAAATATAAATAGATACAAAGTTAACCTCAATGTAAAAGCAATTTCTGTTACAAATATTTGCACTGATATAAACAGAAGTGATCCAAAAATTTCTGTATGCTTAGTTACTCATTGATATGTACTTGAAGCAATATATTAGAAACTGACTTTAATGGTTCTCGTTCAGGCAAACAAGTGCTTATTCCTCATTACAGTTTTTCTTAAAAGTGATATGAATGTATATATACGTTAGAAAAGTACATAGATCATGAAGGAAAGAAAGGCATAAATATCTCTTAAATTGAAATAGTTGGTATATTTCGGTTTTGTTACGCCTGACAATCTATAATCAAATAGAAATTTCTCAAAATGCTGACTTAAATTGAAAACACGTGCAAAAAAGATAAGTAAAATATGTTATATGTCACGCTCTTTGTAAAGAAACTTTAGTTCAGTTTCATGTCTTTTGTCTTTTTAATTACACGGTTTAAAAATTGTTTTGTAGACGTATCGGACTTTTTAAATCTAGTGCTTCAGCGAAAACGACAAACGTAGTATTTACGAAATCAGTGGATGGCGAAGAAACAAACAATGAAGCACAGACTCAACAACACCTTAATCAGGGTTATGGTTTGGTATTTCAAGCAAGCGAGAAAAGCAACAAAACAAACAATTCATATGCACAAGTGCAGAAGGTCAAGCGTATAGAGGATACTTATACAGAGAGTTCAAATGAAGAGTATGATCATTTACATAATATTGGTGGACGAATACCAAAAGCTGGTGAAAATACCTACGATAGCAATGCAGGATTCCAAAATTGCAATGATCCTACCTATGCCACTGCCTCAAGTTCTACTAGAGTTGATATGGATAATACGTACGATCATTCGTTTACAAATATGAAAACTTCCTCAGAATATGACGTTTCAGATTCATGTATACAAATCGATAGAACAAACTTTGACGTATATGATCAGGCTTGTTAATTAGAATTGTACCTTAAATACACACCGGGAAATCTTATCGTATTAGTTTGTTTTTTTTTTGTTCTTATATAGATATAAGAAGATGTGGTATGAGTGCCAATGAGACCACTCTCCATCCTAGTCACAATTTGTAAATTTTAAAGTAAACCATTATAGGTCAAAGTACGGCCTTCAACACGGAGCCTTGGCTCACACCGAACAGCAAGCTATAGAGGGCCACTAAATTGACTAGTGTAAAACCATTCAAACAGGAAAACTAACGGTCTAATCTATATATAAAAAAAACGAGAAACACTTAAAACCACATCAACAAACGATAACCACTAAACATCAGGTTCCTGACTTAGGACAGGTGCAAACAAATGAAGCGGGGTTAAACGTTTTAATAGGCGTCAACCTTCACCCTTCCTGAAACAATAGTGTAACATCACAACATAGAAAGACACACTATAAAATATCAATTGAAATGGCTTAACTCAATCAAAGGACATATTAACAAAAACAAGTGAAGATACACTAAACGAATAAATTTGATCTATGACACAATGTAAATACAAAATTAATAAAACAAGGGGGTTAGATTTAAAAAGATATCAGAAAGACAACCATAACCTTGGACAAAATGCCGCCAAATGAAATAACGTACATAGGTAAATACAAATGATTTATAAAATACGGTATACATGGAGCACGGATATAATTTTTATAAAATAAATAATTTTGTTGTTCCTAGTACGAGAACAAAAGTGAAAATTATCGTCATTCTAAACACTAAAAAATAGTGAGACTATCAACTTATACGTTCATAAGCGTTAACAGTCGAATAAACAGATGACAACGGCAAATTTCATTTCTCATATCCACAATTTATTTCTGTTTCCTCGTGTGTTACCTCGTTAAATGCAACTTATCAACGTTTATGTACTGTCAATGCCATTTATTAAAAAGACTCAGAGCTATTTCCCATTCTGGATTACTTGAGTTTGATTTTTGATTTCCAATTTAGTTCATGTTGCTTTTGCTTTCAGTTTTGTATTTTCCAATACTTTATTGTTTATTCATCTTGTCTCGGTTTCATCGGAGGGTTTTTATCTATTTAGACTAATTTGTAATTTATTGCAAATTTTCTCATTATTTCTACTTTTATGTTAAGGAATTATGTTTTTAATGTTGGTGGGTTTTGATTAAGCCTTAGTGTTGGACAAGAGTCATCATACCATGATTTGAAGCCTTGTCGCTGAGTTATCCTAATCGTATTTAGACATAACTTTACAACAGATGTTACTATCAGAGAGGAGGAATAGATACCCTTCCAAAGCTTTCTGTGTAGTTTTTAGTATACGATTGTTTGTCCTGTTGTGTTTTTTTTTTTTTGTTTTTTTTTTTTTTTTGCCTAAGTGTTGATTGTCTTTCTACGATGTGTCGTTCTTTCTTATTTCTCCTTTTGGGTTTTTAAGATGTAAAAGACTAGATGATTTGTTTTCGTCTGATGAAACCTCAAGAATTAAATGTCTGTGGAAACAATAATCGACTTCATTTTATAACTTTTTTAGTTACCTATTACTAGCAGCTAAACATGTTGTCCTTACTGGTGGTTTCGCTTTAGCGAATTAAATCGTTTGTTTATGTTTCCTTATTTTGATGACCTTTGGTTTCACAATCGTACATTTTCCCGTAAAATTCTTATATTCATACGTCATCTTTTAATCACGTCGGGTAGCTCATTTATAAAATAAATATATTACGGATTAAAAATATGTCGAGTTTTGTGGTTGGATAACAACACAGAGATGTCAGTATATATTCAGAAAACTGCCGGTGTATATACGACGTTGTTATCCCTAATTGGAACCTCAAAACACCTGTTACCATGTGACGTAGTCAAAAGCTATACAGAACCCTTAAAAATGTCAGAGGCTCACAAAGGGAAAATATTGACATGAACGACGTGCATCTGTCAATAATAAATTTTTGATACAAAATCATACAATTTACACTTCAATTTCTGAAATTTTAAGTTTTAAAGTGTTATTATAAATTATTACATACACGATACAATTATTTTCACAGCAAATTACAAAAAACTTCACGTATGCGGAACATACCAGGTTGGGTTTTTCAATACGCATGTATACATAGCCAGAAATTAGTAGTACTTTTGCTAATTAATATTCATAATATGTAAATGAGAATTGTACCACGTGATAATAGTTTGAAGTGGACTGGCTTGATATCATTGAAATCTTTAAAACACGGGTATTATAAGTTGCCCGTCACAGAATCCTTGTTTATAATCACTCTGATATTTCCGTAAAGTTGTCAGGCGGTCAAAATCAAAACAATGAACGCGAATTTAGTAATTTTTCGTGTTTTCGTGAGTTTATTCTTCTTGAAATAGAGGCATTTTATCTTTACGTGGGAACCTAGAGTTCAACGACTACTCATACAAGGTTTGGACTTGCTTATTCTTTGGACATTCAAGTTTCAAGTTTCACCCCGGCAACCTGTATTTCTAATGACCATGTTAGTCAATTTTCAACACGAAGTTTGCAAATTTGACGTTTCAGCCATTTTAGCCTGTATTTTATACTGCAATGTTAAAAGCCTCTCGCTTTGATTTTTAAAATAGCTCAGGAACCTTAATTTTTGCAACGACAGTCATTATATTTCGTTTAAATGGTGTATATTGTTGTGTATATTTATTTTCTGCCCCGGCAACCTGTCTATCACTTAAATCAAAGTTAAAACAGACATTTTTTTCAAAATTCCCTATCATTTCAATATAATTTCCGTGACCCGTATCCGATTTCTTTAGTATAATATTCAAATAAGCAAAGTGGCGTTGATTTCTGGATATGATGTGTTGTCAAAAACAACGCCACACAAACGTACATACACAAAACATGAAATCTAAAAACTTTATTGAAAACATTTTCTTATAAAAAATTGTCAAGATAAAATGGTACATTTAAATGAATAACTCAAAATATTAAGAAACAATAAACATGTAATGAATATGTGTACATGCTGCATTAAAATTGTGAATGTTCAACACTGGAAAAAACAGACATATATGTGTAATTCAGGTCTCAGACAGGGTATATACTGTGACATTCCCGGATTAGGGCTTATATCCCCTTCGCCTTTGGTTCAGGGGATATAAACTCTAAGCTAGGAATGTCACGATATATACCCTGTTTGAGACCTGAATAACAGATAATATGAAGTGGGAGTATGATCGGAACTGCCCAAGCAATTCTATTTATATTGTACTCTAAGCGTTTGAAGAACGTCAAATTAGAATTGTTAATATACATAGATGTTCATGTATCACTACATAATATTAACCTAAACTTAATTATTTTCCTTGTTTTGAACTAAAGATAAATTGATAGTTAGTTGTTGTTGGAAAAATTGTCATCTTGTTTTATTTCAGAATCTGCCGTGCAAAAAAAAAACTAGTTATGAAGAAAAAAAGAAAAGATGAAGAAATAGACTTATTTTTGTTACAATATATTTTCAATGTTACATTTTATTATACTCTTTACAATTTTTTAAAATATATTCTGTTACCACAGATGAGAATTTATTATCAATCATGCCATTTTAAGAAAACTTGCATGTATAGAAATTGGTTTAAATTTAAGCTGACAGATGGTTAAGGTTGTTCTCATCTTAATGATATAATTTGTAAGTTCTCTTACAAAAATAAAAAAAAAAAAAACCACAATGTCAAAGTGCAAACTGTATAGCTGTAGATTCTTTATTGACTGAAACATCTGCATTCTGCGCTCAAATGAAATGCTCATATGGTTCATAAGAAATGATACCATGAAAGTTTTATTTCAAATGCATAATTCACATAATGTTTTGTTTATATATCCAAAATGATATTTCTCAAACATATGTTAGACCGCCTCGGTTAGTCTGAGAGTGCTTACCTTGAGTGCAGGAGGTTATTATAGGTTCAAACAGGGGCTGAGTCATTGCAAAGAAGCTAAAACTGGTATTGGCTGCTTTTCCGCTAGGCAAGTAGTATAAAGAAGTAAGAGCAAAGACTGAATCGACCGCTAGTCAGAATAATGTGTCCAGGAGGGTGACATGTTTTCCTGCGAACTGTTACTTTGTGTGTTAGCATGTTTAAAATCTGTCTCAGTGTGTCAGTCTAATACAAAGCAGGGTTAGTGCTCATTTCTCTTTATCATGATCTCATAACCTGAATATGCATCTGACCTGCCACTTGAAGTAAAGCAACCATCACCCAAACATATGTTTACCATACGGTTTCTGAACATGTGTTTACCATATGTTCTCAGACATAATGTAACCATGAACATGCGTTTGCTATGTGTTTTCAAACGCATGTTTCACATAAACGCATATAAACTATACATTCCCTAAACATACGTTAAACGTACAGTGCTCCAAACATGCGTTTCTGACATGTTTAAAAACATACAGTAAATTCATGGGAAACATGCGTTTACATGCGTTGCATTTTTTGCTGTTTACCAATCTAACAGCTCCAGATGTACATTTCGAACATCAACGTCTCTTCAGTTATGGTAAGGGCCAAGAAGTTTTAAGTCCAAAACCTTATACAAACGTTTAAAAGCTGATAAAAACAAGAATGGATCACAGTTAAAGTCAAACCTGTCAAAGAATTGGAGCCATTCATGGAGAGGTAGGATACATTCCTCAATCTGAAATAATTTCAAAATTTTATAACAGTTAATCAAAATAAAACAATATCTGTATTTCATACCAGAACCAAATTACTGGCGACTTGGCTTATGTTGCTTTCAGTACACCAGCAGTGGTATCGAACTATTGTTATTGATAACATTAACGGTACAAATTTAACTGCACCAGACGAACGTTTCATTTTGTCACAACATTTTAGCTCTCCATAGGTTCTAATATGAAATACTGTGAAATAAAGATGAACTAAACTTTTTGGAAAATCAATTATCCATGTTCGTATAAACGATTCACTTGGCAATTCTGTAGAATGTTAATAACT